AAAAATATTTTTACAAACTTTGGGAGCGGGTTCGTCACACCAAATCAACGACAAAAGGTTAGATGACTCGGCTGTCTTCTGTCTGGGGAACGCAATCTGATACAATCGTGCAGCGTGACGTCCATTACCATTATATATATATATATATATATATATATATATATATATATATATCAAACAAGCTGAAGTCTGATGATTGCAAAAGCGTGAAATCCAGGGTCACAAAGTCATATCCATACAACTTATTATGTTAGCTCTGTCACTGATATTGAGCGCTCTCCAATAAGTACCACGCATATAAAAAATATATATATATATATATATATATATATATATATATATATATATATATATATATTTAAAGATATTTTTGTAGGTACAAAATTTAATGATCGAAATAAAAGTATAAAATTTAATATTACAAGACATATTAAACAATGTTAAATAATAAAAATAAAAAAACACAACAACGGGGGAAGCAACTGGTTTCGCTCCCGCTCTTCAAGCTTCCACTGGAGATTCAAAATTAAAACAGAAAATATATATATATATATATATATATATATATATATGAACATACGAGCGATTGTTTGTGTGCGTGTATTTTTGAATCCTGGAAGCTAAGTCGACGCGATTCTTTTACTTAAGATAAATCTTTTCCGACATATTGAAGCCAAATAATGTAACCAAGTAACTTAAGATAGTCTGCTGACATTTCATGCTGGCCTAGAATATACGACCTTCTGCAATTGAGTCACACGAGTTTCTTCTCCCTTTGCTGCTGTAATTACAGATTTATTACATTCCTTACTCCAAAATATGTTAAATTTCTATCTTTTAACATTCTAAAATGCATGCTCTCGGTTAGCGGTGGTTTATGCATAGTGCAGCGCAAAAGTTAGTGAACCCCTAAGATAATAATAATAAAAAATATGGTTTTGCCCTCGGTTCGAAATTTGCTCGCTTCTACACACGCATGCACTCGTTGGATCATTGACTGGCGGACCCTTTCAAACTCTCTCACACGGTGTCACATAGTTTCGCAGGCCCCATGACACGTTGACTAAGCGTCTGAGCATTATTAATGTCTACTACATAAACGAGTAGTTTTTACGTGACCCACAGATAAAAATCCAAAGGACTGAAGCCAGGGGAACGTGCAGAAGATGGAACCGGTTCTCCCTACCTAGCCATCTTTCATTGTAGATGTCAACCATTGCATCGCGAACAATATGATTAAAATGTGCTGGAGTCCCATCATTCATGAACCACGTGCGTCTTCATATTAGCAGGGATACATCCTCTAGCAGGTTTGGAAGTTTGTCCCTGTGGACAGCTCCTGTAAGATGGGAGAACATATAAACCTGCTAGACAGTCACCTAAAATTCCAGCTCCAGTCTGTGTGTGTTTAGATATCATGAATTCTTCCAATCAATTTTTAAATCGTAAGGTCTGTCTATTTAACATTTTAAATAGTTTTTTCCAACCTTGAAACTGAAGTATTTTATGCTAGGATTAAAAACGTTAAACTTTACAAAATAACTTATTAACTTTTAAAAAAAGAGCACGTATACTATTTTTTTAAATACACACCTCGAATACCCTTGGAGAAGGATAATTTATTTAAATGTTGTTTCTTTTCTATTATAATATTTTCTACAAGTTCTATATATTATTTTGGTATTATATATTAAAATTTGTCTCACGTTATCATAATTTTGGTTATTTGTAATATATTAAGAGATATGTGCGCGAATTATGGTAAATTTTGACAAATAACAGTCAACCTACGTTAGATTGCGCTGTATGTATGGTCAATGTAAGAATTTAATAGTGTTTGTTTATTATTAGTATTAGATACATGGAGAACTTATAAATTCAGTTTAACTGTTGCAGGTGATCACACCTTTAAGTAAGTTAGATTTTACTTTTACTGAAAACAAATATACTCGAATGTATAAAAATGAACATTAGACAGTTTCACATTTTAATAATGACATAAAGCTGGGAAAATATTTAAAAAAAAAGTTAGACAGACATTGTCAATGTTATTCAATAAAACCTATTTATATATATATATATATATATATATATATATATATATATATATATATATATATACAAACAGGTTTTGTAGCAGCATGGCCAGGCGTTTCCCGTGCTTGATTCAAAAAATCGTACGACTCATACAGCAATCGCTATCACTTGACTTAAAATATTTTTGCCCTTCCTTGTCTTTAAAGGAGTGCCCTTTTCCGTGCTGATGTTGCCAGTAGAAGATGGCCGCAAACAACATGAAAACTGCCGTAGAAGCATGAAAAAATCAATTATCTCCACTATCGATGGGAGTTGGGAAATGCAAAGTCGGTCTTGGCCTTCCCGCTAAGTTGGGGCATGTGCATGTAAATTTTTTGTGCAAATCCGTCGAAAATTGCGGCCGTGCATTCGTTACACACACATCCTGCCTTTTTATATATATATATATATATATATATATATATATATATATATATATATATCAAAGATAATATCCAGTTATGTTTACATAGAAGAGTGTTATGCGATGATAACGGTCGCGGAATAGCAGACGCAGGTCGTAAATTCGTGTTGCGGTTCTATGACGTCGTAACACGTGTGAGAACGAAATATTACCAACAGAACCATATGTTTAAATGCAATGTAACGTGTTGTGACTAATTGGAATTGGAATTTTGTTGAACATGGGTTGATTTGTTTTAATATACACGGCCTCCAATATCTGAAAGTTCTTTTTACTGTGTAAAAGATATAAGATGACGCATATTAGCCGAAAGCTTAGATCAAGGAACAGCATAATAAAAAATATCCAAATGTTGGACAGTTTTTGTCTTTATTTTCTCCCGAAATTAAAGCAACCATACGAAGCTTAGAACGGCTCATGATCAAAGATAACAGACATTCGATGTTAGTTATATTTAACAATATATGTTTGAATAATGAGCTGCTGTCCCCATACGCTATATATATATATATATATATATATATATATATATATATATATATATATATATAGAGAGAGAGAGAGAGAGAGAGAGAGAGAAAGAGTATTAATTTATGCTATATTTAAACGTAAAAGTGCTCAATTTTAGAGTTAGAGCGTATGTAATTATAAAAGTGACATCAACACCAAGCGGCAAGTGTTTCATTCTGGTGCGCATGACTTGAAGAATTTAAGCATGAACCAGTGTTTTCGCTCATTGTTGACCTCAGTGTTTACATGGTGGAGTAGTGGATACCGGCTCGGATGGAGAAATGGGAGAGCCGAGTTCGAATTCCAATAGAATCCATTACATGCACCTACGTGCTAATTGAGAAAAGTATTAATCCTATGGCTAAATAGCAGGACAAACTGGGTTCTTTAGCCTTGGAATGATAGGAGAATGACAACTCAGACTTCAAATCTACGGGAAGTCGTAGTGCACCAGGTCTCTGTATCCAGTTCTGTACAAAGCCTTCACCACTATAATCAATTCATATGTGCTGGTGTCTGGGCTGTTGGTTCCTAGGAACAGAGCTGCTTGACCCTCATACATCGAATATGACGGGAGAGTCAACTATATATATATATATATATATATATATATATATATATATATATATATTCATTGTTCATTATTAGCTACGGTTAATATTTCTTAATTTTTCAAAAATAATGATTCAATCCCCGGATATATTTACAGTATTATTGTGAAGTCTTAATGTACATTATATATTTCATGCATATAAAAATTACAGCAAGAAACTGACAGTAGTCCCTAAGTGTTGATCTCAAATTGCAATAATTACATACGCCCTATCTCTGAAATTGAGCACTTGCACTCTTAAATATAGCATACCTTAATACTATATATATATATATATATATATATCTACAATCTCACTTTCGTATGTCTACAATCTCACTCTCTCTCTCTCTCTCTATATATATATATATATATATATATATATATACTGTTTCGCAGTTTCACAGATCATCAGTGTGGCTAGACATCCTATTGCCTCTAGCCGGAATCGAAACTCGACTGGTTTGGCATCAGCCCCGAGACTATGCCCCCAAGTCAAAGTCATTGCCACACGGCAGAGCCGAAGTTGAATTTAGATGTATTTATTTTAGATGAACTCGCCATTTGTGTATATATATATATATATATATATATATATATATATATATATATATATATATATATATATATATATATATATATATATATATATACACTTTCTTTTCTCACTGGTAGCACAACTCAGTCGAAACATTATATGGAATTACTGTTTGTTTTTTTATAGCTCTATTATATGACATTGAGCACTATTTTATTAACACCAGTACTCAATGTCCGATATGGTACATCTCTCTCTATATATGTTTGCGTGTTTGTTTCTCTATACTGTTCATTATTAGCCACGTTTAATATTTCTTAAATTTTAAAAATCTAATGATTCAATTCAAGGAAATATTTACAGTGTTAAAGTCCAGTATTAAAGTACAGTATTAAAGTACAGTATATATTTCGCATATATAAAAATTACAGATGTGTGCTTACTGAGGCGATCAACACTTCAAAAATCATATCACTTCCGCCTTGTCGATTTCTCAACCAGTGAGCGGGATTTTCCGTTGTTAGCCACATTCGTCTGGTTCATCGAGCGTGACAGGTCATGTATTCCGTTACCTGTTTGATTTCTTGTTCCTCACGGAAGTCTTTTCAAGGAGGCTTAGTGGTCTTAACTTGATTCACAAGGCGGTGTCTTATACTTTTTGATACTTCCTTGCTACAGGAACGCCTAAAGATGTCATTCTTTTTTATATATATATATATATATATATATATATATATATATATATATATATATAATTTATTGCTTAAGATTGGAAACAGATTGGCGAGATAAAGTTCCTGACTTCATGTCAGACCTGCATCGCAGTCGTTCACAGGATCTTCAATACATTTCATAGTTCAATGATAACCTGTAATAACCTTCTTTTTTTTTCTTCTTTTCTTCTTCTTTTTACTTTTCTTTTTTTCTTTTCTTTTCTTTTTTCTTTTCTTTTTTCTTTTCTTTTTTCTTTTCTTTTCTTTTTTCTTTTCTTTTTTCTTTTCTTTTCTTTTTTTTCTTTTCTTCTTTTTCTTTTCTTCTTTTTCTTTTCTTTTCTTCTTTTTTTTCTTTTCTTTTTTGGCAGTTTTCAGCGTTTACACTTTTTATAAGAACTGAAGTTATTAAACATATTTCCTTTCCCGTAAGATCAGACCTGCAATTCATTTTAAACATTCAAATTCGCAGATTTTTTTTGATTTTTTTATCTATTTCTCTTTTTTTTTTTTTTTATTTTTTTTTTTTTACAGCAATGAAAAATATTCTACTAGAATAGAGGGTTAAAAATTAGTGAGATTGCAGGATTTTTTGCCAATTTTTTCCAAAAGATTTTAGCGCACAAAATGTTTTTCACACATATTTGAATATTATCTGTTACTTCATTGCACGTGACATGTATCTAACCAATAAGAAATAACCAAAAACAACATACCAATAATCTGAGTCTCCTTGCTCTTTATCATTTTTTATCATTTCCATCTTGATCTCTGACGAAGTTTAAATAAAATGAAATATGTTAGATTGAGATCTGTTTCCTACTTGTTCTTTATTCTGTCATTTTGTCGGATTCCTGTTCATACCTGATATATATATATATATATATATATATATATATATATATATATATATATATATATATTGATGAAGAGAAACACAGAAAAATGGATGTTTAAAATAATTCTGTGTATTAAATTGTTATATTTTTTAAATTTTGATTAAATTTAAATTAAATTTAGATTTTAAAACCACTTTGGGACTTATGGGAAAACAATATCCATACATGCACACACACTATATATATATATATATATATATATATATATATATATATATATATATATATATATATATATATATTCGCATATTTTGTATATGTGTGCGAGTGTATGTGTGACTATGTGTGTGCAAGTTTGTGTATGTGAGTGTGTTTGTGTTTGAATTCCTTTACGCATTTTTGCGTTCCGCGTTAAACAAAATCCTACCCATAAATGCACGCGCAGGAACTAATATTAAATTGAAATTTTAATTAGAATTAGATTCTTAAAGCCACTTCGTGACTTCGGGGAATACTCATATACATGAGGGATGGTGAAAAAAAAACACCCCAGTCGGAGCCACGCCCCAAATCTAAGGAAAAATCAAACAACACAATTTATTTTGGATTAAGTTTTTTCTTGGTCGAGCGCAAAACCTTTCAGCGCCTCCTCTCCACACACACACACACACACACACACACACATATATATATATATATATATATATGTGTGTGTGTGTGTGTGTGTGTGTATAAAGAAGGTCTTCGACTTACGACAGAACTCCGTTTTTACGATGCTTTTACACAAGATTTTCCGTGTAAGTCGGGACGTACTTGAGATTTTCCTTGAATATGCACTTACGTCACTTATCTGTACAAACGCAATAGTAAAGTATTAATCTACGGCATACAAATACATTTCTATGAAATATGTTAACATGAGTGACATAAATATAATACTTATGATGAATTTTTTTTTAAGCTGCTTATAATATTTATTTGTCATGGTTATCGGTAGATTCTATGGCAAAGCGTAAGATTTTGTCTCTATTGGGGAAGAAATAAGCACAATCGAGAGTTTGTTTTTCGTTTTCATTGGGAATTCATCAACTTATAATTTAAGAAGAATCTTATATCTTTATATACAGTGGCCTAATAAAAATCTGTTTAGCCAGGAGAAATAAACTACATCCATTTTCAAAATTTAATTACGTAATCCCAACTGAACATAAATAAACAGTATTTGAAACTAGTATAGTGTAGGTCTTTCATTTGCTAGTTTCAGTGTTTGTATTAGATTTTTCATGGAATTGGTCAAGTTCTCAACAATCGTCTGATCCATATTTTGCCACTCCTTTATCAATCTTTCTTTGAGGGTTGCCACACTGACGTGATTTTGGCTGCAGACTCTTGAAGTTTTCGGTCAAGGTGCTCTATTGGATTCATGGCAGGACTTTGGGCCACCCATCGCATTGACTTGATTCCTTGCGATTCCTTCCAGGCCTTTGCTACTTTGCTCGTATCGCGCTCCATCTTCTTGAAAAAGGTAGATATTCTTGTCAATCTGATTGGATTCAAATAGTGGGAGTATTCAATTTCTCTAATATTTGACAATATTTTGGACCATTCATCAGCTCGTCAACAAGAATCGGCTCAGATTTCCCTCCAAACCAGACAGCGCTTCACACCATTACCCCAAACCCTCCATGTTTCACGGTCGCATATGTAGACATTCAGTGTTCCAAGTTTCATTCTGATTTCTCCAAAGATAAACCTCTCTCGAATTCGAATGTTGCTTTCATCTGATCAAATGAGACTGCCAAAATTCATAA